TATCTTTTATTCCGGAGATCGATTTAAGATATTCCATTTGAAATGGATATAATAAAAGTCGACCTGGCCTCATGTCAAATAATTCTCAAGATTTACTAATTAGATAAAATTTTCATCAGCAACTAATAGATGTCAATGGGGAAGGAGGCCGGATTTTGTGAATGTGTAGAATATGCATTTGATTTGTGTCAATTACTAAAGGGAAGGCATAATAGTAAGGAGGAAATTAAACAGTGATATATATATTTTTTATGAAACTTTGGGTATATAATGTATTGGATTGTATAATCAAGTAATTAGTGAATATTTCTATTACTATTGATGAGTAAGTCCGCCATAACATTAAATTTCAAGAATATAATTAAGTACCCTATCTTATAATAAATAAAGAAAAAAGAAGCTCTCTCAAATAGATACAACCATCTTAGCATGAATGACTGTATATATTTACGGTTGGGGTTCAACCTTTTGCAAGAATGAATGACTGTATATACAACTGTAAAAGCGGAGATTAGCTATTTAATTTGATAGTTTTGAAAGTTCAAACTTTGACAATTATAAAAAGTAAGAAAGTTATTATTATCGAACTTATGACTTTCTCATTCGGGAAAGCCACTTCGTGTCACTAGATCACAAGATCATTGACTCTTGAAAAGTTTAGACAAAAACCAAATTAAATGTTTGAAATCAATTGTCAAGTTGTTATGTTTCATTCCAGGGTAATACTGAGCATGTTAACTAATTTTTCTAACATAGTTGTTCTCAACAAGCACATTTACTAGAGTTACTTTGTCCGGTGAGAAAATACCCAACAACTTTTGAATTAAGGTTGCAATGCATGACTAAGGGTTTAAAAACAAAAATTAAAATAATGTTTTTTTTTTTTTGGTCTAACTACGAGTTAAAAATTCATGACTTTGAACATAAAACTCTTGCTTGAATTGAAACGAACTCGTTCACGTCATCTCATTGAGACTCTATGTATAAATTAGAATAATGAGCTAGCGTGCCCAGTATCACTTTACTTTCTACCATACGCCGCATATATAAAACATGTTGAACGGAACAAGTTAAATTTGGTCCCCAGAGCCATAAAAATTACCATACAAAAAAACAGGTCATATATATGCATGGTCGGCTTAGGTTATGTCAGTTACTTGGCAGTGGGTGAAAAGGCATATGGGACCATCTGCCTAACGTAATAAAAATGTGTCATTTATATTGTCGTTCAAGAATACTCAAAACTTTAATTAATTTAATGCTCTTTAATAAATTTACATTACGTATTAAATTTGAACTCCAATTTCACTTGCGTACCAGCTTATACGTACTGAGCTCGTTGCTCTTTCACCTCCACTTTCTTATCTCCACATGAACAAAAAAGAAATTCAAAAAATTTAATTTTTTTTGATCGAAATTAAAAGCATATCTATATATGTGGTGGCATTGAAAAATATTAAAATGCATGCATCTGTCAACTGTCCATTGTACTACCTACGTACCTGTCAAAATGTCAAATGATTCTTTATTTATTATTATTTGTTCATGACATGTTCATGTGAATTATACGTGTTTTTACTAATGAAAAATGATATATATATATATATATATATATATATATATATATATATATATATATATATATATATATATATATATAGAGAGAGAGAGAGAGAGAGAGAGAGTAAGGTTCAAGTGCGGCGATGTCCTTAGGTGCGGCGTCACCAATAGTTCAACAAATATACACCATTAATATTAGGAAAATGCACCATAAAAATACACAAAAATTAAGTACGCGTCGCCTAAAACACACCATTAGGTGTGAGTAAAAACAACATACAGTGTTCGGAAATACACCATTGGGGTGTGATGAGTTTTTTTTTTTTTTTTTTTTTTTTTTTTTTTTTTGCATTTCATTATGGTGTGTTTTCCTTACACTGTTGGTGTATTCTGAAATTCCGTCGCACCTAAGGACATCGCCGCATTTGAACTTTTTCCTATATATATATATATATATATATATATATATATATATATATATATATATATATATATATATATATATATATATATATATATATATATATATATATATCATGATATGATAATGATGATGTCAGCGCCATGTAACCTAAGTTAACGATAATATTAACTATTGTTTTTAATTGCACCACTTTTTAAAGTACATAACTAAATTAAATAAAATAAAGATATATAAGGATTAAATTGAACAAAACACTATAATACATAAATCTCATAGATACTTTGACCGACTGCATCTTGTAAAACGAGTATATTTTACTTTGGTTGGCGTGGTGGTTCAGCACCTTGTCCCTTAAGCATGAGGTTGGGGCAACCAAAAAATATATAGGAATAAGAGTCAAATAGGCCACCCAACTGCACACCAACATGCAATTAGGCCATCCAACTCAAAAAGAATGCAATTGGGTCCTTGAACAACAAACTTATGTAATTTGACCCAAAATTTACTTGTTTACCTGAATAGAATGTTACTAATTTAAAAATAATTTTTGTAACAATAATTTTTAATAAAAATAAATATTTAAAATTAAAATAATAAAAATAAAAATTAAAAAAAAAAACCGCCGGAGACGAAGAAGTCTTCATCTCCTGGCCGGAGACGAAGTTACCTTCGTCGTCTCCGACCATGGAGACGAAGGGACCTTCGTCCCCAGGCCATGGAGGCGAAGGTCTCTTCGTCTCCATGGCCGGAGACGAAGGTACCCCATAGCCGACGATGAAGGTACCTTCGTCTCCGGTCATGGAGACGAAGAGACCTTCGCCTCCATAGCTTGGGGACGAAGGTCCCTTCGTCTCCATGGCCGGAGACGACAAAGGTAACTTCGTCTCCGGCCAGGAGACAAAGGGACCCGTCGGAGACGTAGAAGTACGGTTTCTTTCTTCTTTTTTTTTTTTTTTAATTTTTTTTAAATATTTATTTTAATTAAAATTATTGTAAAAAAAATTATTTTAAAATTTAGTAACCTCCTATTCAGGTGAACAAGTAATTTTGGGTCAAATTACATAAATTTGTGTTGTTCAGGGACCCAATTGTATTTTTTTTGAGTTGGATGGCCTAATTGCATGCTGGTGTACAGTTGAGTGGCCTATTTGACCCTTATTCCAAATATATATAAACTTTTTATGGGATGTGATTATTATGGTCCATCTATCTTACTACTAGCTAGCTAGAGTCAAGATTTTATTCTTCTTTGGTAGTTGGATCTGAGCTTCTTTTTATGGGCATAATATTTCCACAAGATTATATCATAATAGTGCATCACTTTTCCTCATAAAAGCCAAAAAAAAAAAAAAAAATCAATGACTTTTTTTTTTATTATTTATTTCTCTAATTTTCCGCTTTTTATTTTCTATTTTTAATTATTTTTCAAAATTTCTGTTTTAAATTTTTTTTTTCAATTAGTAACCGTGCTCTAATCTCTTAGTTATGACTATAGTGTAGATATTCTCTCTTAATTATTTGTGATATAAATTTAGTCACAAAGATATTAATAGAGTGATAGATTTGATCCTTATGATTCTTAATAAAACTCTTCACATTTTCACAACTAATGCTGAGGATAAAAAAAAATGGTGAGGATCAAATCCTTCACGTTACTAAGAACTTCATGCCTGAATTGATACCACAATCATAAGTGAGGAATTAAAAATAGAATAAATCAAAGCTAATTAAGTCATGAAATTTTTTTGAATATGCTGCTATATATAAGAGGTATCGAAATGGAATAAACTATTCATAAATATGTAACTAGATATTATTATTATTATTAAATGTTTAATTGTATTTTTTGTAAAAGAATTCTTTTATTAAAAAAATTAAATGTCATTTCTCAGATAAAATAACATCTAGTAGATTAATACTCCTTTCGTCCTATTTTATATGTCTGAATCAATTAACATGGATATTGAAAATGGTAAAGAAAGTATTGCAATTGATGTAAAGACATGTACCAAAAAACATATTGGTGTAGAGACACCAAACCTGGAAAGCATGCTTTCCAGTATTCTAATAATATATTAATATAATGGGATTAATGGCTAGCTCCCTTAAATCAAGTTTGGTGGTCAATTTTCATTCAAAACAATTATATATATACATAGTTAGTGAAATCTTTTGGTACCACCTTCTTAAAATGGAAAGAGTGAGTATTTTAAACGTATCAAATAGTTGAAGAAAAAGGAAACTAAAAGAAATGATTTCTTTCAAACTTGTTCTATTTTTATCATCTTTTTGCTTAATGAAACCTGAGTATGTAGGAGAAACAAAAGTTTTTTTTTTTTTTTTATAAAGGTGGAGAAACAAAAGTTTATTTTCTTTATATATCATTTTCCCTACCGTACCGATCAACACATGTGTCGTCCAACAATACATAATACAAGTATGCATGGTGAGCATGAGTATGTGCTAATAAGGCCTGATACAACCAGACATATATATCAAACACCGTCTATCTTTAAAAATATATGATTTTTTCTATGATACTGATCATCACAAGTACCAGCAGTATCTAGTACAACTATAAACAGTAAGTATGAATAATGGTCATAGAGTCTAATAGAACCAAACATATATACTATACATAGTTATACAGTGTGTGTGTGCGCGTGCGTGTGTGTATGTATATATATATATGGTCAGGTTTCTGTGCAGATCAGTCAGTACTTCCGATGCAGGCACTCACCATTAGGTACGCATAAATGCACTACAAAGCGTCGAGAAATGCACCATTAGGTGTGGTGCATTTTTTGTGTGCGGTGTATTTTGTACATTGGTGCATTTCTGAACACTGTGTGGTACATTCTTGCATATTTAATGGTAAATCTGGCTCGACTGCACGGAAAGCACTGTCCGCATTTGAACAAGTATATATATAGTCAATTATTGAAATCAATATTAGAAAAGAGAGAGAGAAAGAAGCACATGTTGATATGATGAAGCAGAGATAGAGACATAATTGTGAAAAAGGAGAGAGATGAGAATTAGTAGGATTGATAAAAGTAGGAGGTGAGAAAGGTAAGGAATTTTCGACGGGTGCAAGACAGCCACACCACTGATTGAAAACATCCTTAATCGGTACAACATAAGAGATAACATACAGAGATAGAGAAATATACAAATTTTCCGATCGGTCGGCCCCAATTAATGGGGGGTTAATTAACAAAAAATTAATTAGAAGACCATATATATATATCCACCTCTCATCGATCTTCATCCCTTAATTTGTCATATATAATGGCCGCCGTTTATCGCCATATATATTCATGGTCTCCCTGTCGTCGTCGTCGCAATGATATGATAATCCTAGCTATCTAGCTTAGAGAATTGAAGAAGCTAGATATATAGATGTTGGATCATCATCATGATCTGATGATGGAGACGACGGAGCAGAAATCGTGTTCGTCGCAGGGGATAGTGAGGCCCATATCGTGGCTGAAGCCGAACTCCTCCGCCGCTCTGTGGAGCAAGGACTGGAACTCCGGGTGGCTCAGCCACGAAATGGGGATTACGTATCGGCTCCGGTTCTCTCCGACGTAAACCACGAAGTGGCCTTTGGGGACATCATGCGGCAGCCCGGTGCCGTCGTCGTACCCATGTTGTTTCTTCCCGAAACTGGAACACCTCTTGATGATCTGCTTGATGGCCGCTGTCTGGGCCGCTGTTTTCTTCAGAGCCATTATATTATATTATATTCTGGGTTTGATAGAAGATAGATGAAAGTGGAAGAAGAAGAAGAGGAGAGTGTAAAGGTGGTGGTGGAAATGGTGGAGGTCGGAGAGGGTATTTATGAGGAGTTCTTGAAGAACAAAAACATGTGCAGTGTGGGGTTTGAGGAAGTGATTGGCTATGGATGTTTTTGGGTTAGTCATGGGTATTAGGGCATCAAGGCTCATATACCCTACTTTGTCACCTCTCCTAAAGACATTCATATGGACCACCTTAATACTTTCTCTCTCTAAAATTACCCCCCTCCCCCCTTTCAATTCACAAAATATTTGATTCATAGACAGTTCAGTTGGTTCCTGCCTCCCACCAACAGCCGACAACTAGAAGACCAATCCCTCATCCCAACAGTCAGCGCACTAAGAGGCTAGGTAGGGTTCCTGCCTCCCGCCGACAGCCAACAGCTAGAAGACTAATTCCTCATCCCAACAGTCAGCGCACTAAGAGACCAGGTAGGGGACTGGCCAAATGGTTTCTGTCTTTCTACATGGTATATTATCATATCATAATGTTGGAGTTACACCCAATGTGTGGTGGACACCACGTACAAGTCCTTACACTTAATGAATATTGAGTCGCTGTGATTTATCCTTTTTACTATCCTGTTGGGGTGGACTATGACTTGTGAGGGCCCCGAGAGCAAGAATTTTGCCTTTGGGCAGTGGGCAATTCACAAAATATTTTTAAAATCTAGTCATATCTTTGTCAATATGTAATGTATTTATTATACTTCAAATGTATGTTTAATTAATTAAGTTGGGGGCAGGTAGTTATAATTTTCTGTCTTCATTGTTATTTAAAAATGTTTCAGCCAACATGTTCAGGTGCATACATAACTTCTTTTTTAATTTCCTTTTTTTTTTTAGTATTTCTACTTTAATAATGTTTGTTAGTTGTTAACCTATGATATATTATTTTAGATTAAATCAAATTAAATATTAAAATAGAGAAAAGTACAATTTTACAAGTCACAAAATATGATCATCGAATTAGCACTCATGAAACATTATAGTATCTCTTCCTTGATTTTTGATTTTGGTATATTACAGATTGAGGGTGAAAAAGACTTTTCGTACACAAGGTTCTAAGTTTGAAAGGCCATGAGAACTGTCGATTGAGCTTCTTGGCTAGAACTAGTCAACAATCGATAATCTAGACTGATTTACAAAGGTTTTATATATATATATATATATATATATATATATATATATATATATATATATATATATATATATGTTGCATAACTGCTATAAGTGGGGGATGTGTGGCTCTTGAGCAGGTCAAAATGGGTTTAAAAATTATGGGCAGCTCTTCAATCTATCTAAATGAATTTTGTACTATATTAAATTATTAATTGATTAATTGAATGAGTGAAGATCACTAGATCAGGCTCCAGTGTGGGCTAGTCAGATATGTCATTTCATTTTGACTTGCTATTAAATTTTAATGATTTATCTTAAAAATGAATTATTATTTATACACATTCATTATTTAAATATCATCATAAAGTAAAATATGGAGTATATGATTTTTTTAAGTAAAAAATTAATATCCAATATATGATATAAAAAAAATTTCAAGTCAGGTATCTCGTGGTCATTTTTTAAAAAGAAGCTAGGTAGCAAAACTATTCTCCTTGCTAGAACTTAGAAGTGTGATTCCGATCCTCTAATTTCTAAGCATTATAAACCAACCGTTAGCAATAATTAATTGGGAAATTGTTAGATGATTGGTTTGTGGGTGAGGTTTTAGATCTAATCAATCTAATTAAATAATTAAATAAATAAAAACACATGTACTTGAAATGTCCATCCAAAGAAGTTTATATGATTACATACATTTGGTGAAACATTTTATAATATCAAGTACTAAAAATATCAACTATTATAAATAAAAAGGAAAGTGATATTTTATAATGCAATTGTAATTTTATTTTCACTATATAGATAGAGAGAGATAACGCTTATATGGGAAAGATTGATTAAGTGAAAAATAGGATTTAATCTTATTTATTGATTCAGTCCGGATCAAGAATCTAGAATGAAGATATTTAATAATAATAAAAAATGCGATGACATTATGATAATTTTATGTAAGTTAATTTTTAATTTTTTTTGTCTTTCAGTGCATTTATTTCTTCCGGTGTAAATTTTTCTTTCTTCGAGTGCACATTGTTGTGCCTTCCAGAGCACAATGGCACAATTTTGCCATGTACAAAGGATTTATGAGGATAATTACTTCAATTACACTGAAATTGAATAACTTCCCTTTTTGGTATCATAATTGCTTCGATTGCACATCTTTGTGTCTTGTAGTGCACATTGTTGCCTTCCAGAGTTCCAGTGCACATTGTTGTGTCTTCCTGTGCACAATTTTTGCCTTCGCTGATTGAATTTAGTCTTTTAATAACTATATTTCTAATGAATTTTGTGAGTTAGACATATCAAAATATACAAAGGATTTGTGAGGGTACATAATTACTTTAATAACACTAAAGTTGAATAAGTCCTTTTTTGGTATCATAATTGTTTCGATTGCACATTTTTGTGCTTTGTAGTGCACATTGTTGCCTTCTAGTGCACATCGTTGGGCCTTTCAGTACGTGTACTTTGGTGTGCCTTCTAGTGCACATTTTTTAAGATCGTAGATGTCAAATTTTATTTTAAAGAGCAGTTGATCTTGACTAAATGAATGGCTGAGATTTATGCGCATTTTTCACCTAAGAAATCTTTGCACCTGATCCTAAATAAACCATTAAACTGCACACAAAAATACAATTAGATTTTGAACTAAAAACAAAGTGTAATTTACCCCTCAAACAAGTCAAAATCGTGTATTTGACTAATTGTATCAAATAGCCATTCAACTCCTTGTAATTTAATACCCTACCTAATACGTTGAGTTGTAAGTTCAAAGATAATATATCATCTTACATGTCAACTTAAATTTAATTTTTTTTTTTCAGTATAGCTAATGAGTTATTTTTTGTATGACTTATTTGTTAAAAAAATTCAAACTACTTTTTGTTTTTGTTTTTTTTTTTCATTTTTTTCTTGCCCACCATCACCGTCTAACACCTTTGCTCCTCTAGCAAACCTTAGATTAAGTTTCGTCACAAGCAACCAGAGAAACTTCATCTCAAGTGATTGAAACGGAGTTCATCTTAAATCCGAATCAAATTTAATTGTCTATTTAACATTTTTTTCAAAATATTTAAAAAACATAAAAATAACTAAATTAAATAAACCAACACAAAAGAACATTAGAACTGACTACAAACCTATAGTCTAAGTCTTCAGATATCTGCCTTGACAACATCCAACTGAAGTTGATGTCTCATCATCACATCTAAAGGTTGGCCAAGAATAAGCCTATTACCCCATTGTCCTTTTCCATTCATAATAATAAATATTATTACTATTTCACTATGATAATAATATTTTCTTTTATTACATATAAACCCACAATAATTTTACATATATCTTTTAATTAATTCCATAAATAAAGAAGGAAAAAAAAAACTCTTAACAATAATTGAGATTAAGTGGCGGGTGGGCAGTAGTGGGCAGCGTTGGATTATGGAGAAGAAAACGAAACAGAAAACGTCGGAAACATGTCGGAAAAAGCAACCACTTTTAGTGATTCAAGTTGGTTCGTGCTCAACATTGGTTGATTTGTTTTGTTATTATTAATATTATTACTATTTATTTATTTTTTTTGAAAAAAGAACGAACTTAATTCATTGAATCCAAAACGAGAACATCATGAATAAACGGTGGAGCGGCATACGATCAGATTAAATCTTTGACCCCCAAGACCTCACTTGTATAGTCGTTGGAAGACGTAAATTGCAAGCGGTGCAGACAGTCCTCTAGTCAAACCCTAGCTGTCGTTGGAAGACGTAAATTGCGAGCAGTGCAAACAATCATTTAGTCAAACCCTAGCTTGTACACTACTACGAACAATGAGCACTCCACCTACTGACCATCTGAGCTAACCCTGAGGCTATTATTACTATTTTTCTCCCTCATGGTTCTTAACCTTAATGATCCGTTATCAACTCATCAATCATTATACTTGGATCATAAATTATATCGTAAAATAGACTAATGATATACAAGTTCATTTTTAGTGTATTATATGTTATTTTGAAAATTTTAATTTTTGTGTATTATAACTTTATTTTTAGTATACAACTAAAATGAATTTTTAGTATACTGAAAAATAAAAATTTATCCATGCTTACTGAATAATTTGCAGTCAACTCATTGTTTTGATCCACTATTTGAAATCGTACAATTGTTCCCCACCATCACAAGCTAAGATTAATTATTGTACGTACAATTTGGTTGCTTTTTGGATGGGATTATTTGAGATATTTATATTATTACTCCTAATAATAATTCTCAACTCCTATACATAAGCCACTAATTTATCATCAACCTAGCTATATGTAGGTCAAACCACCTTAATCTTCCTAAAATAATTTTTTAATATTGTAAATAGATTAATAGAATAATATAGATATCAAGAGCAAACACCAAAGTTAGGGCTCGATCAATTGTAGTAGTAGTAGTAATAATAATCTTAGTTGAGTTGGTTAAATTATTGTTAATTTGATAATTATAAGATTTTATCTAGTGGGACAATGTACTAACCTTCTTAGTTTGAGCGGTCAGTATGAACAACTTAGTCTGATTTAGGATCCTTTGCCAGTTAAAATTATAAGGCGAGCCTGACTTTTTTATAGTCATTTACCGATTAGGGTTATAAGGTGAATTTTATCAGGACATATATTTCAGTAGTGATTGTGTATTTTTTTAGTAAAATAAAAGTAATTATTAATAATTTAGTAATAAATTACATAGAGTTGAATGTAGGCTAAAAGGGTTGGGACCACTAATGATGTAAAATTTGACATGCAGCGAGTCGTAAACAATGAGTGGATCGTATTTAAAAAGTGGGTTAACAAAGTCAATGACATTAGAATATCACTAAACTAATCATGATTAAGTTTGTGGTAAAAGTCAAGTTGTATGGTTCATGTTCAATTGTTCATGGACCCTTCACCCTTTCAACGTTGCATCACTTTCGCCCTCTTCAATTTATTTTTATTTTTTATTTTTAAATTTTCATGAACTCTACCTTTCTTTTTCCACCTTTTCAGACTTCATATCAGCTAGTACACACATTTTTGGAGTCAAACATTTTTAACTTGCAGAAAGAGGGTAGAAAATCTTGGGAGGTGGCCTGGTCATATTTATTTACGCTCTAGGGATGAAAAGTGAATACGATCAACAATTAGAAATCAAACAAACTGTAAGTATATTACACTTTTAAATTAGCAAAAAATACATTGTATAGTATTTGAAAGTGCACTTTAAATGTTAAAAAAGATTACCAAAATATCACTGTAAATTTATTTTCTCTTTAGTCGTTCTATTAGGTTTGATAAAATAGACGGCGAAAATTAATTTTTAGTTTTTCTTATCATATGAACATTATATATTTAAATATTTTATTTATATAGAATTTCAGCATGATATAAAATTTCAAGTACTAAGTGTATAACCGTATATTTCAAGTACATATACGTAACATATCTACGTACCACCTTCCCTTTCTTAATCATATCATTTTTTTTCATAAAAAACCTAACCTTATCCGTTAAGGTTTAGGCTTTCTTCTTAAAACAACCAACTTGATAGGGCAGCTGCCCCGGGACGGCGGCCGACCTAGGGGAGGTGGTGGGTTGGGTGGTCCGGCCGTTTGGGGTGGGGGGGGGGGGTCTTATGTTGCAATATATAATGTAATATAAGAAGATAAATATGATTGTCTAAAATTTGAAGAACCTGCCATGTGGCCAGGCGCCAGCAAGTCAAAATCCAACAACATAAAATAAAAAATAAAAATTATAATAAATACAGATAACCCTAATCAAGTTGGTTAGACTATTGGCGTGATAATTACAAGAGTTACAAGTTTGACTCCCTTTTTTTTGAGTACTACTAACTCTGTTACAATACAGTATCTGTTTATAAACTGCATCCACTGAGGCTCGAACACACCCACAATCTCCCATATAGGAGAACAACTTAGTGCCACTAGATCACAGGGTCCTTTGGCAAACCAATTAGTTATGAACAACCTAAACTGATTTATCTCCTTGTAATTCTTTGTTGACCAGAATCACAAGACGAGATTAACACACTCTCGAGTAATAGCTGCTGGTTTCCCACGTCACCGAAAAGAAAAAAAAAGAACAATAAATATGAAAGCAGGACAAAGCAGACATATAGCAAGCAAGCTGAAAGATGAAAGAGGAATGTGTTGTTAAGTAGACAGGCTATTACTAAAAGAGAACAAGCACCACAAGAGTTGCGGCTTGACCTCTCTGGTGTCAGATGACAGGTTAAAAAAAGAATGGCATTCCCATGTTCTAAGGCCAGGAGAGCTGCCTTCTTGTGTTCTACTTTCCCTTCCCAACAACAAGTTCAGCACATCTTAGCTATATATGTCAAGAACCCACAAAAAAAAAAAAAAAAAAAAAAAAAAAAAAAAAAAAAAAAAAAAAAAAAAAAAAAAAACACAGAATATAATGAAAAAAGCAACATGGAGACTTGTACAGTTGTACAGCTCATCCATCCAGCACACCTAAACATGGTACATAGATTTTTCTCAATTCCAGTCAAGACTTCATGTTTGGTTGGCTTCATTGGGCATGCTAGAAATGGAAAGAATGGTTTAGACTGGGAAAAGTAAATGAGTGAAGAAGACAATTGGATAAGAATGTCCTCTTGTCACTGGCCTTCAATGGAATAAATGGCGTTTTCACAAGTTGATAAACCACCATTTATCTTGAACTAGCATGTGAAACCATGTTACTCTCGCTTTCACAAACTGTGTGCTGAAGAGTGAAGGCCATACAAGAATACTTGCGTCTCTATCTAGATGATAATGCATTAATGCACTAACAACGAAAGGATAGTATACGGTAATACAATGTCCTTTCAACAACGTTCAAGCAGTAGTTTACTTCGTGAAACCATTTCGGTCACTGATTAGGACAGGAAACAATTATGCAGTTTCATAGGATCCTGGTCAAGGTTTAACATCATACGGGATTCAGGGAATTAAGATGAATGCAGGCCTATCAATGTTCCAAAACGGGTTCAAGGAGGTGAATAAGTTTATTTTCACTAAAGAACTACATATTAAACAGACAGACATTCAAACTGTTACAAACTATCAAGTCTGAATATTCTAATATTTTTATAGAGCATGAAACATGATAAAAGCGAGGCGCTGAACAATCAAGCCATGCAGTCAGGGAGACTTTGCATGCAAAATCACTATTAGTGTAAGAGAATTTCAAATCAAACGTGTGCCCAAAGATGCCAAAATGATGACTTGAAACCAAACTTGATGCAACAACATTTTCTATTAGATTTAAGTACAATTGTGTCTAGTTAATGGGATTACTTCGCTCAATGAGCCAATACAGCACAATTACAGGCAATGGGTTCTCTTGGATTGTAGTCAAGAACAGAAGCCAAAACAGAATTCATCTGCTAAACTCACCTTAATCTTCTGGAAGGATAACAGGTGTTAAGGTGAGGTCAATGTGATAAAGATGGCATCTGTATAAGCATGTCAAACTAGATATTAGAAGCACTCAGTGCCATAACCTTGCATTGTTCATTCATTGCTAGGAGTTGGGCCTCTTTCTTGTCAAGTAAAGCAGTTAACTTCACATTCTCTTCCATAAGCTTCTGTACTTCGGCCTCTTTTTGCATCTTCTCACTCTCCAACTGAGTTGTTTTCTCAACCAGCCTGATTCACATCAAGCAAAAGAAACCACAAATTCGCAGAATTTGCTATCAAGAACGACATTTAAGTGACAATTGCAATTATGCTTTGTTAAAATTTTGCAAGAGAGCAAGTTGCATGCAACTAATTCTAAAGTTATCACAAGATCTGTACTAAATAATTATTCCAGAAGTAATTTTCTCTTTAGATCATTGGAAAATGCAAACACTAGCCAGTAGAATGCTATCAATATTTATTTATTTCTTCAAGCATTTCAATTGATAATGGTTACCCAACTAAAAACATAGGGAGTATGCGATAATGTGGAAATTCTACAAATAGAGTTTCCAAGGAAAAAAAGGTTATTTTAGGGCGGCTATCACATATTTCAAGTGAATATATGGCTACATCTACTCTATGCTCTATACAGATCCACTGGGAATACGATGACCCAATAATTGAATTAACTTTAAGTTCCTTAAGCTATGCATCTACTTAGTTTGTGTATCCAAGAACTACCATTAGGATACAACTTTTAACATTATGCTTTGGTTTCAGAATCAATCACACTGATTGATACTAATAAAACATAATGATATTATTAGTCAATGGTTCATGATAGACATAAATGCGTATGTGAGTGTGTGTTATAACTAACCGTTCAAAGAGCCTTTCAATTGTCTGAAACTGCTTTTCTGATGAGAGGAGTGTTTCTCTCACACTAATAAGACTATTAACATACGTCTTCAGAGATTCAAAGTCTCGCTTAACACGACAAAGCTCTTGCTCATTTTCTGCAGCTCTTTGCCTCTGTTGAGATGTTTCTTCAACTAAATCTTCAACTCTCTGGCGCATCTCATTTAAGATACAGTTTGTACCCATTGCAAATCTTTCCATCTCTTCTAACTTAATAGACATGTTTTCAATTTCGAGTGCCTTCTTTCTAATCTCTTCCTCACCTACAGTCACCTTCTTCTTCTCAACAGCAGTCTCCGATTCAGCCAGTATAACCCTCTTAACAAGATTTTCCATAACGTCTGTAACTGTCTGTACACACCTCAGTAATTCAGTAATATAAGCTCCATCTTGATCATGGAGAGAACCTTGTTCACTAGAATGTTTAATCCATGCTTCCTCATCTGAATCATCAAAAGCGGGTAGATCTACATCCCTAGACCAGCCCGGCAATGGAATGCCATTTCTGTCAACAAGTCCCGTTCCATCTAGTTGTTTGATACCACATATCATATGGGCCAAATGAGGAACAGCAAGGACTCTAGCTTTTACTTTCAAGTGTGTCATCAATGTTGCAGCAGTTCTGACTCTTCGCCAGAGAACATCTAACTCCTTCTTTCCATCTTCTTCTGAATCCTTTGTGCAATCTTTTACCTCGAAAAGTTTTGCTTGCAATGCATCCACCTCGCACTGGCTCTTTTCCATTTCTTGTTTCCAATTAATATCAGTTTCGGTCAATTCGGACTTCAGAGCTGACATATCAATACCATCCTCTCCCGCCATCCCAGCTTTTCTAGCTACAAACATGAACTTAGTAAGTTAGAATGGGCAACGAGGATAACTAGAATTACTGACAACAACAAAAACAACCAAATGAATCCAACTCGTGTGGTACTTTGAATTGCCTGGAAATTAAACTGATACAAAGTGACTCTTTAAGGTTCAAATAAAAGCTTAAAGTTCAGACCTTTAGTGCGTAATGACTTTCACATGGTATCCAACTATCCATATAATTGACATAAGAAACCGGAAAGCAATATCAGGAAAATCATCTAAGGAAGAAAATGCTCTTTACCAGATACTGATATCAACGATTTTGAAGTTTAATTCAGCAACTTCATATTTAAAGATCCAATTTCATGAGCCAGCCCGGTTATCAATATTCACTATTCGAGACTTGACCCTTTCAGTGATAATCTAACTCATACAAAACCTCAATTGTATATACAACCATCATACACATGATAAAGAAAAATGATGAAATATTACCAGTATGCTACAAGTATATAACTAGAGATGCAAATATACTACTTTCTCCTGCTGGGAAGCACACATTATGCCCAACAGCCCAAGAAACCTTTTTTAGTCCAAAGCCAACTGTGAAATTGGTCTTTAGCAGATCAAATACCAAAATTCTATGTTTAATTACTAGGAAAAAACACCAAAGCAGAAGATCATCTTTATTCTTTAGCAAATGAATGCAGGAAAAGCAACATTTAGCAGAAAATCATATCAATATTACAGTCAAAACATCAATAATAAACAATTCACACCAGAGCTTAAGCGCAATTGCAATGCCACTAGAATTGATTGAATCTCAACTATAAAAAGTAATTACAACAGGAAAAGGGAATTGATCTTGGAATAAACCGAATTAGCAACACAAGAAGAAATTTTACGAGGAAAAATGCAAATGAGAGACAGAGGGGAACCTTGTAATCTTGGATGAAACTTGGAAGCTTCCGATCGAGAAAAAGGGTATAAGAAATCCACGACGACACTGCGAGTCCAACACCGGTCGTTTGTAGAGAGAGCTCCCTAGGAGAATGATTCAAAGAAGCAGGAATTTGGTAAAGGCATGTTCTCCGATCTTTTAGGTCAGTACTTCTTCTTTTTGGATATTATATTTTACACCACATTACTTCTGTGATATTTTCAGTTTCACCCCGATAGGATTTTGGATTTGTTTGTTTATTGATCAACGTATATATTTTTTAAATGATGAAACCCATAACTATTATTAGAGTGTGCATTAAATTTTGTCAATCTTAATTAATAAAGGGCCACAAAGAGATAAATTTGCCGTAGGCTGTCCATAGTTAACTAGCTCAAACTAAGACTATATGATTTATGGAAAAGTACGGAAGATATCGATACACCCTCCATGTTCACGACTGTATTATGATGGATATGGAGATAGCGCAACAATAGCATTTTTAAAGGGGAGGTCATCAACTCTAATAGGAAGATTGCATGGGTTCTGGAAGCGGGCAAGAAAATTCAACGAGCTTTTGATCATCTGCATGATAAGAGTTCCAACATGTACAAGCGTAACACCATTAACCCTCATTGGTCCCTATCTAATGGGCATGAGTGGACACTGAACGTGGATGCTAGTGTCAAGCCTTCATCTCATAAAGCTGGTTATGGCGGCATCCTTAGAAAAGCTTATGGTGGATGGATGAGAGGTTTTATTGGAAAATCTAGCCACGGAGACGCTACTCCTGTGGAAGCCGAAGCCATTTCCAAAGGTCTCACCTGGGCTTCGAGAAACGGAATAATAGATATTGAAATCCAGTCGGATGCTGAGCGAGTCATTAACTGGGTCTTGGGTGATTTTGAGTTGAGAGACCCCATATGTGAACACGTTGAGAACATTCGTAAATGGTTGAAGGAAAGCTGGAAGGTATCCATCCGGAAGATCATTCGCGTAGCAAAACGAGTGTGCAGATGCCCTTGCAAATATATATGGGCGTGAATATGAACGTGGAATGGCGCGAGCTTGAGTGGTGCCCACATGGTATGAAAGAGATCATTGCCAACGACCGCCTTTGTGCTACTTGGTCTCGAAGTGAAAGGAACTAGTTTTCCTTCTCGGGGTATCCCACCTCCTTGTCGATAAAAAAACTAGCTCAAACTAAGGCTACATGACTTAAAGTCATCACTCTAGTGGAGGGTAATGATTCGACTCCCACCAACATCTTGGAGTTATGGTTTCTCATACTAGAGTTTTGGCCATTGGACTTTCAAAATCGGAGATTGAGCTTCATAAGTTGGTGGAAGTGCGGAGATGATTAGATGAATAACTTATGTGCAAAGTCAATGACGAAGACGAACTAGAATCTGCTTAGACAACTCGCGATATACCTGCTCTAGGGATTCTAATCCCAAAAGGTTGAATCTCTAATCTCAATGGCTCCCCACACTCAATGAGCATGTAGGATGGTGTAAATCACGGTAACTCAATGACTCAAAATATATGGCCAAATTCCAATGCGCACAAGGGGTTTGCCCATTTTAAACATAATCCACATGTTGCCGCTGTCGATTTTAAACATTGATATGTTCTCACAAAAATTGTCTACTGAACTCACATAAGATTTTTGAATGCTTAAGATTAATCTAGCGTAAGCAAGATTGCATAAATCGATAGGCATTCCTTGGGCGCGCAAGAGGCGCTTAGCACCTAGTCACCCATTTTTAAAATAATTTTTTAAAAATTTGATAATTATAAATTATTTAATACTTTAATATTTAATATTAAAATATTAACCTAAAAAATATCTAGAATTGTAAATTGTATAAAGATTTAAAGAATCAAAACATAATTCTACAAAGGCACAACTCATAAAGTTTTAATATTAAAGTAGTTGATTTTTGTTGTATTGCAAGTTTGTTATTAACCTTTGCAGACCTTAGCTCGCAGGAACAGTGAAACAAAGAGCAGTATGAAGAAGATAAAGAAAAGTGAGAAGAACAATTTTATTGCCTTGCTATGTCTCTCACTTCTGTACATGAATACAATAATATATAGAGTACAAATGTAACCTTCTCATTAAGTACAAAAACTGTTTCAGCTGTTACAAATTATCATAATAATGTCCATTAAGATTTTGATTTATAACACTCCCCCTTGGATATTATTTTGCCATAATCATGCCTCGTTAAAAACTCGCTAGAAAAACCCTGTGGGAAAAACCTAGTCGAGAAAAGAGTACACGATTTATGGATAATGCATGTGTTGCTTCGGTTGCCTCATTAAAAACCTTACACTGAGAAAACCCTGTGGGAAAAAACTCAGTTAAGGGAAAAAGAGTACAACCGTAAACCTTCTGGGTTTAGGTATAAATCATAAGAGTATGTCTTTGATCTTCTGGATCGAAGTGAATGAGTTAATCTTCTGGACTAACAATTTCATTACTTTGAAGATGTTGTTGCTCCCCCTGAAGACAACAACCTTCCTAATCTACGCATACCAATTTTATATACATACTTTTCAAAAGTAGATGTAGGTAAGGACTTAGTGAATAAATCTGCTAGATTTTCACTTGATTGGATCTTTTGGACTCGTATTTCGCCACTCTTCTGGAGTTCATGTGGATAAAAGAATTTTGGTGTAATATGTTTAGTGAGATTACCTTTAACATATCCATTACTCATTTGTGCAACACATGCTGCATTGTCCTCGTACAGGACAGTGGGGATCTTTCCATTATTCATTATTCCACATGAGTCTTGAATATTGTGTATTAATGACCTCAACCATACACATTCTTTGGAGGTCTCGTATAAGGCAATAATCTCAGAATGGTTTGAGGAGGTAGCTACTAATGTTTGTTTAACTGATTTCCATGAAATAGCAGTACCTCCAGAAAGAAACACATATCCAGTCTGAGATCTAGCATTATGCTGATTAGACATAAAGCCAGCATCCGCGTATCCCACTAATGTGGTGTCTTGGTTTCTTTTAAATAGAAGGCCAAGATCCTTTGTACCTTGCAAATATCTGAGGATATGTTTTATGCCATTCCAATGCCTTCTGGTTGGAGCAGCACTAAAACGAGCTAGCATGTTTACTGAAAATGCAATATCAGGTCTAGTGTAGTTGGCAAGGTATAGAAGTGCTCCAATGGCACTTAAGTAAGGAACTTCTGGTCCCAGAATATCCTCATTATCCTCTTTAGGTCTGTACGGGTCCTTATCAACTTCAAGTGATTGGACTACCATTGGAGTACTAAGTGGATGGGACTTATCCATGTAGAATTTTTCCAATAACTTGTCTGTGTATTTGGATTGGTGTATGAATATTCCTTCAGGGAGGTGCTCGATCTGCAGGCCGAGACAGAACTTGGTTTTTCCCAAGTCTTTCATTTCGAATTCCTCCTTAAGGCACAAGCATGCCCTCTTGACGTCCTTGCTCGTCCCTATGATGTTTATATCATCTACATAGATTGATATAATACAGAAATCATCAGTTGATTTCTTTGTAAAGATACAAGGACTAATATCTTTATTTTCATATCCTTGTTTTAAGAGGAATTCACTCAATCGACAATACCACATTCTTCCTTATTGTTTTAAGCCATATAATGACTTTTGTAGCTTTACGCTGAACATATTTTTATTTGTATTTCCTTTACATAAAGGATTTTGGATGCCCTCAGGTATTTTCATATATATGTCAGCGTCTAGTGACCCATATAAATATGCGGTCACAACATCCATTAACTGCATTTCTAAATTCATTTTTACTGCCAGCGATATTAGATAACGGAACGATGTGTCATCTAAGACAGGAGAGTAAGTTTGTTCAAAATCTATTCCGGGTCTCTGTGAGAACCCTTGAGCTACCAGTCTCGCTTTGTATCTGACCACCTCATTTTGTTCATTCCTCTTTCGTACAAATACCCATTTGGATCCTACTGGGATCACGCCTTTAGGGGTAAGTACAGGAGGACTAAACACTTTTCTTTTATTTAGCGAGTTGAGCTCAGCCTCAATTGCTTCTTTCCATTTCAACCAATCGGAGCGCTTCCGGCACTCCATTATAGTTTTTGGTTCTGGATCCAGATTATTGAAAGAAATGTGAAGAGCAATTGTAGAGGCGAATTGGTCGTCGACGACTGTTACATTTCTATTAAGATTTTCTCCTGTTTCGAAAAAGTTTATGGCAGATTCTATATTTACTTCAACCAAATCTTTCTCATTTGCTATCAAATCTTGGTGAAGGTGTTCCGTATTCCCAGTGTTAGATTTATTTGTAGCACGTGCATTTACACTAGGTATTTCGTCTTCAGGACGATTTTGGAGTAACTGTGATTGTTTATTGTTTTTAATTTTCCGCGGATTTACATCTTTTGCACCAACTGGTCTTCCACGCTTCTGGCGTCGGATAGTGTCGGTGTTATTATTTGGTCCTTTGGGGACAATTATCCTTGATGGAGCATTTTCTGCAGGAATATAGGACCTAGTTACTCTTTTATAATCAGTAAACGCATCTGGCAGATTATTTGCTAGTTTTTGCAAATTTATTATTTTCTGAACTTCAAGTTCAGTTTGACTAGTACGTGGGTCAAGATATTGAAGATCTTTTTCATCCCATGAAATTTCGTGGCATTTTTTCAAAACTGGGCTTTTCTCTCCCCCTAATGCCGGGAAATGATCTTCATCAAAAATGCAGTCAGCAAACCGTGCAGTAAACTGATCTGCTGTCATAGGCTCGAGGTATTTAATGATAGAAGGGGATTCATACCCAACATAAATACCTAATCGACGTTGCGAGCCCATTGAAGAACGATGCGGAGGTGGTATAGGTACGTAAACCACACAGCCAAAGACACGCAAATGAGAAATGTCTGGCTCATTACCACGTACAAGTTGTAGAGGGGAATAATCGTGATATGCAGTTGGCCGGAGTTGAATTAGGTTTGCAGCATGCAGCACTGCGTGTCCCCAACAATTTACTGGTAGACTGGACCGTTGCAGTAATGGTCTAGCTATTAGTTTAATTCTTTTGATAAGAGATTCAGCTAAACCATTCTGGGTGTGGACATATGGTACAGGATGTTCCACCTTAATTCCCATGGCCATACAATAATCGTCAAAAGCTGACGAAGTGAATTCACCAGCATTATCCATTCTTATGTTCTTAATAGGATAATCGGGAAATTGGGCATTCAACTTAATGATTTGGCTCATGAATTTTGCGAATGCCATATTTCGAGTGGACAACAAACACACATGTGTCCATCGGGTGGAAGCATCAATAAGGACCATAAAATATCGAAATGGTCCGGATGAAGGATTAATTGGTCCACAAATATCACCCTGTAGCCTCTGCAGGAAGACAGGTGACTCAAAATCAATCTTAGGACGTGAGGGACGAACAATAAGTTTTCCCTGTGCACATGGAACACATGTGTAATTTTTTGTAGAAAGAATGCTTGTCCTAAGAAGGTTATGTCCAGTTGAATTTGAAAGAATCCGGCCTATCATTGTTTGCCCAGGGTGACCTAAACGGTCATGCCATAGACTGAAAGAATGTGTATCTTTAAACTTCACTGCGAGTGCAACGCAGGAGTGCTGGGGCCTGATATATGAATAATACAGGCCTGAAGAAAAGGAAGGAAGTTCTTTAATTTCCTTTTTCTGGTTATTGACCGTTTTGGTCAAAACAAGGAATTCGGTATTGTTTTTAGTTTTAGTTTCTATGTGGAAACCGTTGGACCGAATATCCCTGAAACTGAGCAAAGTTCTTTTTGATTGAGGATATAGGAGGGCTGAATCAATGATCAACTTTGTTCCATTAGGAAGAATAAGTGAAGCTCTGCCGGAGCCCACAATAGGAATGTCATCATTCGCTATGGTTGAAAGGTTGCCTTTGTGTTCCTTGAACGTTTGAAAAAATCTCCGGTCTGTCAGAATAGTGTGCGTAGTCGCACAATCAACCAAGCATAGGGCTGATTCGTCTCCCATATCTCTAAAGAAAAGAATGGGTATCAAGATAATGTCTAAGAATGATCCATTGTATTTATTCAAATAGAACAGAAGTGTTCAAAGATAAAGGATCCGTTATTCATATAGGACAAAAGAGTTCAAATATAAACATGCACGCAGGCATGAAGTAAAATGGATGTTCATAAGGGAAAGAGAGAGAGAGAAAAAAATAGGAGTATCACTCCTGATCTCCATAATCAGCTAGTTCATCGCCTAGCAGGTCATCATTCCCTAAGATGAGGGCATTTGCTTCAGGCAAAGATGATTGCCCAGAATCTTTCTTCTTTTGTCCTCCTTCCTGCTGGAGCATCTTTTGGTAAGCCTCGACCAGATGCTTAGGAGTCCTGCATGTCCTAGACCAATGTCCTTTGCAACCACATTTATAACATGGCTGCGACTGACCGGAGTTCTGTTGTGACTTGTTTGGTCTATTTCTTTGAGTTTGCTTGTTCTGAGGACGGTAGTCACTACCGCTAGCTCCCCCTCTGCCACCTCGCTTTGGGCCCCTGCCACGACCTCTCCCCCTACCCCGGCCTCGACCCCGCCGATTGTTGCTCTGCTGGGTAACAGTGTGTGCTTCAGGCACAGGAGCAGCGCCAGTTGGACGCGCATTGTGATTTTGCATCAATAACTGGCTATGCTTTTCCGCCACTAGTAAATCCGTAATGAGCTCTGGATGCGTATCATATTTTGTATTCCTGTACTGCTTCTGGAGCACAAGGTCATTTGGATGGAACGTGGATAGAGTTTTTTCAATCAGATCCTCGTCCGTAATTGTTTGCTTACAGAGCTTCAATTGTGACACAATTTTGTGTAGGGCGGAGTTGTATTCAGTCACAGACTTAAAGTCTTGAAATCGGAGGTTAAGCCAATCATGTTGGGCCTGGGGGTGGACCAATGACGTCTGTTGGTCAAAGCGTGCCTTAAGAGATTTCCAGAGGACATAGGGGTCTTTTTCTGTTAAGTATTCATTCTTGAGGTCGTGGTTAAGATGGTGGCGGAGGAAAATGAGCGCTTTCGCCTTCTGGGCTGCAGTGCTCGTAGATGTCTCTTCAATGGTGTCCAGCAGTTCTGTAGATTGGAGATATATCTCAACATCAAGTGCCCAAGTGAGGAAATTGTTTCCATCGAGGGCGAGTTCAGCGAATTCTCGTTTTGCGAGAGCAGCCATTTCTACAGAAAATATTTGAATGAGGACCATAAAAAAAATGGAATGTGTGGCCTAGTTTATTTCAATAAACAAAAGGCCCAAAGAAAATATTATATATCATGCCCCAAAAAAAAATGGTCCAAATAAATTAGGGGCTTGAATGAGAAGAAAAAAAAAACGCATCTGCGTTAGGGATGGCAATTGAACCCGCCCCCGATGGGGAAAACCGTTCCCCGCCCCGACGGGGATGGGTTCGGGGATTTATTTCGGGGAACGGGGGCGGGGATGGGGGGAATTTTCCAATCCCCGCCGGGGACGGGGACGGGGACGGGGAGGGCATTTCCCGCCCCGGCCCCGACCCCGATCCCCGATCCCCGCCCCGTCCCCGAATCCCTGACTAATAATATTAATATTATATATAAATTAATATCTCTCTTGTATATATTTAATCATATTCTTGAATTTCCATGTAATTAGTATTCTAGTTTAGGTACATACATTTTATGTTCATTGTTACCGTAATACCGTACATATATCTTGTATAAATAGGCTATGTTTATTTGTTTAAATTATTATTGAACATCAATGTATTATATTCTTCATTCTCTATCTCTGCATATTCTCATGGTATTAGTAGATGATTTTTTTTTTCATCTTTGCGATTTAAGATTTTTCCTTAACAAAACTGTGTTTCTCTAGTTTTGTTAAGAATGCATATTATATTATGTGTGTTTTTTAAAATTAAAAAAAAAAAAAAAGTAAGCATGAATCAAAACGGGGCGGGGATTCCCCGTCCCCGAAAAATCCCCGCGGGGACGGGGATGGGGAATAATTCCCCATCCCCGCCGGGGAACGGGGCGGGGACGGGGAATGGGGGGACATTTCGGGGACGGGGACGGGGACCCCATTCCCCGCCCCCGCCCCGCCCCGTTGCCATCCCTAATCTGCGTTTATTTATATTGAAAAGGGAGGGGAAACCACCGCCGATTAATTAGGCAATAAAATAAAAGCCTTATTTTTCGATTAAATCGAAGGGGAAGGGTAAGCGACGAAGGGAAACGACAAAGCCTCCGCCAAGCGCCACCGTCGATCGCCATTACCGCCGGAGCGTCGAAGAACTACCGTCGGCCACCATACGAGGAGCGTCGGCCATCAAGAAACAACGCCCACTGCCGTTGATCGTTACCGCGGCCATCGTCTCCACAACATATCACCGGTCGCCGCTACCACGGAGGAAACAGCTTCGCGATCCACCGCCGATCTCCGAGAGGATCGCCGCCGCCGCGAACAAACGTCACCGCAACCAGGTATTAAGTCCGAAAAGAAAACCATATATTATCGTTTTTGGTTGATGAAAATTTCGATTTTGTTTGTAGTTCGAGAAAACAATTAAGGTTCTGAATCTATTCTCTTATTCAGCAAATCCATTCTCATATTATGGATTTTGTTTGTACTCCAATCCAAGGTTTTCCCAAAAAAATTTTTAATACGAAACATATACATATACGCAATATGTAAAAGAAATACCGAAAAAAAATATATTTTTGAGAAAATCGTAAGCATATGAGATAATATAAATACCATTTTTTGTGTGTGTATTTCGAAAAGCAGATCAAGTCAATGTAGCAGGTATCTAGACAACTATGATTAATACGGGAAAGAAAAATGTATATCATGCATTCATACCATACGAATTGTCTAAAAAGCATATAATTCAAGAAATATATCCACTGATCATAAAAATGATAGTATATGCAGTTGCATGTAGCATTTCAGGATAATGATAAAAGTTTCTAGAATGCTTTAAACGAGTATAACGTGCATTTGAATAACATAAAATTACCGTTCACCAAGTTTGAGCGTGCCGATAACGTGTTGTATTGCAAGTTTGTTATTAACCTTTGCAGACCTTAGCTCGCAGGAACAGTGAAACAAAGAGCAGTATGAAGAAGATAAAGAAAAGTGAGAAGAACAATTTTATTGCCTTGCTATGTCTCTCACTTCTGTACATGAATACAATAATATATAGAGTACAAATGTAACCTTCTCATTAAGTACAAAAACTGTTTCAGCTGTTACAAATTATCATAATAATGTCCATTAAGATTTTGATTTATAACAATTTTGAATGAAATAACTCATTTAAAAAAAAAAACCAACTAATTAGTCGCCTAGAACATTGATTACAGTGAAATTATAGCCGGATGCCCAGCGCCTAGGTGCAATTTTTGCAATAGTGACCGTAAACTTATAATATATATATAATGAATTCTATTTTTGATCATAGATTTATAGGTGGCAGTCCACTTTAAGTCTTTTTTTATCGGAACATATACTTTTTGTCCTAATATTATTGTGGCATGTTCATTTTTGATCATTTTATCAACAAAACAGTTTAAATACCATTAAATACAAGGACATCTCGATCTTCAATTATGAATTTTTCAAAAAAATAAACACAAAAAATATAGTGTGTAAACTTACTTTGTATAAGAAAGATTAAAATATATTTGTATTTAACAACATTTCAACGCCAAAAACCTTGTGATCAAGCGGCATAAAGTGATTCTCGCAATTTTAATAATTTTGTTGACGAGGGATTAAATTAATGTGTTACTTTTAAATCTAGGACAAAAATGAAATTAAGTAAAAAGAAAAAAAAAACTTTGGATAAAAAACAAACAGTTTGTCTAACTTAATTGGGTGGTTTTTGTATTTTTATAATCATTAAAAATCTGGGGCATTAGTGCATTACTGGCGAATCCCAACCCGAACCGCCCCGTCAGAGTTACATTTGGAAACCCGGCTAATACCATACAAAAACACTTCAGTTTCGTCGGAGATAGCGATAGAATACGGTTGATGGGAGGCGGCGGCGGTGGAGGTGGTAGTGGGGGAGGAGGAGGAGGAGGAGGAGGTAGAGAAGGAGATTGGGAGTGTAGCGGATGCGGGAACAGAAACTACGCCTTCAGAAGCTTCTGCAACCGATGTAAGCAGCCTCGCCTCCTGGTAGACAACAAAACTCCTCCCGATTCCAAGTGGCTCCCTCGAATTGGCGATTGGATCTGTACCGGTACTTTTCGTGCTTGTATTCATTCTTATCTTCTTCTTTTGGTATAGTTTTTGATAATTTCCGTGTCTCTCTGCACGAATTAGGGTTTAGCTCAGTAGATGATGCTATCTGCGTTTGCCATATGTGTTTTCTCAGCTCAATTTAAACCTATCGATGATATTGTGATGAACTTACTGTTATTGTGAACTTTAGTTTAATAATCCATGCGAATTATACGAAACCAATTAGAAATTATTCATCCTACTACAGTTGTCCTCCATGTTGAGTAGCAACGTGATTGGAGGTTTTATGTGTTCTGCAGATAGCAGATATATGAGAGTCCAAGAGATGAACCATTCTTGATTGGCGATATTGAAAATGTTCTCATATCCTGTTTTGGGAATATAGCTAAACTTGTTTAATGTGTAGTGAACTAAACTCTGAAGCGGGAATTAATTTCTTCATTTTAAGCCCCCGTGTTTGAGACTTTTTTTAAAATGCAAATGTCATTAGAAACTTGATTTCTGTAGGTTGAGGTTTTTCACTTTTTTCTGTGTATTGTCATATTGGATGCGGGTTGGCGTGCGTATTCTTGGATTGTTTGCTCTTCTGGCTGGGTTGTGCATGGTGTGTGTGGGGAAATGATCCAATAGGTTGCACTAACAACAACTATGCATCAAGAGAAAAGTGCAAGAAATGTGGACAACCAAAGGAGGTAGCAGCAATGCCAGCAATTTCAATCCCTGGTGCAACTCTCCCTACTCATTCGAATTATTTTTCGGGGGTACAAGGAGCATTGCAGCAAAATACACACATTGGCTTCATAGGAAATGGAGCAATCCAACAGTCACTGCCTTTGACCTCCCACTGGTCTTTAGGAGCTGGTGATAAATTTGGAAGTCAACCTGCTGATCATTATGGGGTGCATCCAGCTTCTAGATGGCCTTTGGTTGGGAATAACATTTCTGGAGTTCCATATGCAGACCAGGCCAACCAACTTCTTGCAGTTCCAAAAGGATGGCGTCATGGTGACTGGATTTGCAAATGTGGGTTCCACAATTATTCTTCTCGAGCACAGGTAAGTTAGTAAGTATATATTGATAATTATGTTGAGTTGTGGCCTACAGAAAACGTTCTGTTAGTTGTGGTTTCATAAGGTAGTGGATCTTATTCTCATTCTCTTGCAGTGTAAAAGGTGCAATGCTTCTATGCCACCAGCATCATCCTCTTCTTTTGGCAGCCCGGCAGTTACAGGTTTGGGTTCAAGTGCCTTATTCCTTTCCACTAACGCTTGTGCAAAACCTGTTCTTTTTTGGTTTTGTTTGAAACCAGAAAATTCAAAGATAGGACCTTTTCCCTCTTTGAACTTCTTGCTTCCTTCTGTTTTATTTTTTATTTTTGTATTAGTTTTCTTTCATTTACAAAATTCTATATTATAATTTTTCTATCTGCATTTCTGGAAGGACTCATCCAAGCGTTAACTGATGTCAAATGCTGTTCTCTTTTTAATTTTCTCATTGTGAAGCTCTTGGGACAAAACGTTTAGCGTCAGAAGAACTTCATGACTTGGAAAACAAGAGGCTAAATGCCGGACATGTGAGACACAGTAGTTTGGCATGACATTCGAATTGATTATGCTCAGATTCCTTTTCCTTTGACCTTTTTCTTATTTTGAACTTGTAGACATTTGGGCTGCAGCCATCATATCCAGGACTTCAGTCAATAGGGAGTTCTGGTGGAAGTCAAGTATCTGGAATGTATTCAACCTTTGGAAGTGGAAACCCAATGGTGCTTCCAAATTTGCAGGCCAACCTACAGATACTGCCTGCAGCACCCACACTCCTCGGGAAGGGGTAAAATGGGAGGCCTTTCTTATTTTAGTTTTTATGTGAACACTACCATGGAAGACCATTTAGAAACAGGAGTTTTTATTTGTATGTATGCATTTAGAATGCTTAGTTCTCTAAACATTGAATTACTTAAGAAGCAAAAGCAAGTAAAATACTTAAACTTCCCTTTTTCCTGTGTGTTGAAATATGTTTAACCAAAACTATAATTCTACTATATATGGCCAAATGCAATTTCTAAAAGAATTAAAAAAAAAAAAAAGAATTCTGTTATGGCAAACCAAAGAAGCATTTGTAACGAATAGGGATTTCTCTGAAATTATCATGTATTCATTACATGGAGAATATATGAGGACAGAATAATGCTCTCCTATGTGGCTATGTGCAGATAATATTACTAGGCATCAGTCTTTCATACTTTGGAATTAATACAGTTAATGCATTTGCAGGGCTAAGCAATGGCGTGATGGGGATTGGATGTGCACAAACTGCAATAATCACAATTATGCATCTCGATCACATTGTAATAGGTATTTCACTATGTCGAGAACCTATTTCATCTGTATATCACTGTTAAATTTCCAGGACCCCTCTAGCAACCAGAACAACTTAGGATGTAAATGACAAGATGTCAAGACATCACAGAAATACCTTGTTTATTGTTTTTGAATATGTTGTTTTCTGTTTGGATCCTTTGTCTGTTTGCTGTGTAGGCTTGTATGCTGTAATGATAGATGGAGAAGGTCCAGACCGTTTGTTTCTGGGGCGCAAGAAATTGCTGAATTTATTTATATGCTTTTTGTGTGCAGGTGCAAGACACAGAGAGACACAATCACTCAACCAGTCAGTGTTGCATAGTTCTCAGCTTTAGAATGCACTTCGTTATCTTGTGGCTTCAGGGCATATTGAGTTTTTTGCCCTCCCTTTTTCGTGTGACGCTGGAATTCAGGTTTGCGTGATTTAGGACGGAGGTAAAGGTTTTCAACCCTCGTTGTGTGATGACAGCTAGATAGGTTTTATTTCGTTGAAGAGTGAGACCCAGATTATACTGTGAGCCAGGTACAAGTATGTTATTGTTATTGTTATCAAACTACTATGTTTCAGCAATACAATATTTGCGCACTGTTGCGCTCTATTGACATGCATTCTGATTATTGTAGTTTCAATGGAAATTTATGATAAGACCTCATTTTCTTGCACAAGACAACTTGCATTTCTATTTTCTACTGCATACATATTTATTGGAACTTTGATGATACTTATTTGCATTTAAAAGTAAACAATTTAATTCTTATATTAGAATATTTGCATTATATTTATTATGAAATTTGAGTTTTAATTTGTGCATTTAGTTTCATTGTTTTGATTTTTTTTTTTTTTGAGATAGAAAATGGTATGTATCTGCAATGAGTAAATGTGATTGGTCGAGCAGGTATGTAATTGTTATATGGTGGATCAGGTTCCACCATGCGCATGATGATATAATTTGCGGCGAATATTAGTTTTGAAAAAGTCTACAGATTGTTTTGGGGGAGGGGTAGGAAAGGAGTGAAAAGGAGTGAGTTTTGGTTTATAAGGATGGGTTGAATATAGTTACTCTCAACTCATGTCCATCCTTAAATACGATATCCTATATGAATATTTTTTTTTTTTTAGCATGTTTCACTTTTAATTCTACTATTTTGACATTATCACATTTAGTTATATTTTTTTAATTTTGTCCTTATTACATTTTTTTTTATTTCTTTTTATTGCAATTAGATTTTCATTTAAAGAGGGGAAAACAATTACATGTTGAAGTAAGATGCTCGGGATGAATTTGTGAAGAACACATAAAAGTTAAGGATGTAATTAGACAAAATTTTAGAAGTAAGACTAAATGTGACAATGTAAATAAAGTATTGTCATATTATTGCTTATTCACATACTATTTTTACGTCGTTATATTTACTTCATACTCTCGACAACACAAAATCATATATGATTATTAATAAGAATTAAATTCATGCTATTTAAATAATGTTTTTGAAAGTTATCCATTTTGGCATTAATTTTTGTATTAATTATTTAATAGGAAAAATGGTTAAATAAGTGAACTTTATGTGAAAAATTAATTATATATTTAAAATTTAAAAAGTTATAATTAAATATATTAACTTGTTATTCACTGTGAATTTGGATTTTGAAGGTTAAATCAGTGACGGTAGCTATAACCCTAATTACCTAGTATCATTGATTGATAATCAGTTATTGCTTATTGAATCCAAATATATAAAGTGGTAAGTTAATGTATTTAATGACTAAATGTATAAAATGACTAGTTAATGTATTTAATTACTAAATAAATGATAAAGTTAATGTATTTAATTATAAATTTTAAAGTACACATGCTTATTTAACACTTTCTCTGTTAATTAGGAAAAGAATTCATATATCAGAGTAAAATATTTAACCCCAAAAAAAAAAAAAAAGAATTACTATAAATAAAACTTGCTATTTTAAAAAACATAACTCGAAAGGCGAAAAAAAAACCTTTGATGGCAAACATTTCCTTACCACCGACCACGATCTTTGGGTAGTTGTCTGTAAGTGTAAGCTACTTCCTGATCTACCCCTACGCCTTCCACTTAATTACGATAACATCTATCTGCCTTCCTCACTTCCTGTCTCAACAAACCTCACTTCCCTTCTGCTTACACAGTAGTAGTATCTATTTATTCGGCGACTCGCCGCCGCTTCACTGAGTGACTCATCCCCCGCCATGGCCGAGCAGTGGAGAGCCCGGAACGACGACGCTTTCTTGCTCGCCTACAGCGACGATGACCTCCGCACTGCCTGTGAGTTTCTCACTAATTGGATTCCCTTTCTCTCCCGAGGGCTGTGCCAGCCCTGTGTTCGCACTCTCTCCGATCGCATCCGATCTCTCGACCGCGGTACTTTCTCCTTCTGTATCGGGATATGTGTGAATGCGTTGATTTATCCATGCGTCCGTAAAATTTGTACGCCTATGAATACTGCACATACTTTGCTGGCTTTTGCTTGTTTTTCTTTTTGCTTTTGTAAATTAGGGTTCCTGAGAATTATTTATGTGAGTTTGTTGTGATTATTGTAGAAGATGGTGGAGGGGTAGTGCTCCCCAAGCAGCAAGAGGATGTTGCGGTTTCGACATCAGAAAATAGGGGATTGAATGGGTGTTATGATGAAAACTGTGATACTCATTCTATTGGGAGTTGGAAGGATGGTGCGGATTTCAATGATACTGTTGATATACATTCACTGGGGATTTGGAAGGACAAGCAGCAAGAGGATGTTGCGGTTTCAACATCAGAAAATAGGGGATTGAATGGGTGTTATGAAAACTGTGATACTCATTCTATTGGGAGTTGGAAGGATGGTGGGGATTGTGCGGATTTCAATGATAATGTTGATACACATTCCCTGGGGAGTTGGAAGGACGAGGCAGATGGGTCTCCAGAGCCAGTGTCTGAGGTTTCTATACAGGGAAACTCGACAGGGAGCTGGAAAGATGGGCCATCGCAGAGTTCTGGTAGGGCGTTGATGAGAGAAAAATTCGGTACCCCTGTGTTGGTTGGCAGGCGAGGAGGGGTGAAGATGTCGTGGGCTGATATGGCTCAGGAGGACGAGCTTGAGGTGGGTGAGGAGACTGTTTCAAGTTTGCAGTTGGATAATGGGAGTGGTTTGTCTTGGGAGGGAGCATCCGAGGATGAGTTCAAGCCAAAATCGAAGCTGTCAAGGGAGCAAAGAGAGTACATCCGGTTTAGTAATGTGAAGAGGAAGAAAGATTTTATATGCTTGGAGAGGATCAATGGGAAAATTGTAAACATACTCGACGGCTTGGAGCTACATACGGGTGTTTTCAGTGCTGCAGAGCAAATTAGGATAGTTGATTACGTGGAAACACTCAAAGATATGGGAAAGAACGGCCAGCTAAAAGGTTTCTTGTTCAACAATGACATTAATTTCCACATAATTGCGTTTCTAATTCTTTCCAAAAGTTTCTAATGTTCTGCATTATTAAATGCTTGAGCTTTTGTGTTGCCAAATGGTTGAAAGTCTAGTTTTATGATATGAGCATATAGTTGGTGTGCTGATGCCATTTTCAAAGATGCAAGTATCTTAATTCTTCCTTTCCGTTTATAGGTGGTCTAACTTTGCTACATTAGTGTTTATTTATTTATTTATTTATTTTACTTTTAAATTGTCTAGAAAAGTTTATTATCCTGATATAATTCCTAGGTATTAGATGATTAAAGAAATAATTTGAAACCTTGTACCAAAAGTTCATTTTGAGATTGTCAAACTGCTGAATGAGTTACAATGATCAAGTGTAACTAATACATTTATTAATTTTGATCATATTGTAACATTCTGTTTATTCACTATATTATGGAGTAGACGGTTGCTAATTGAGTAATTGTACATATGATTTTTTTTTTTTTTTTTTTTTTCTGAGGACCTGTTTGTTATTAATACAGAGTAACCCGTGTGGAGCCTTCTTCTCCTGTAAGTTTTAGTTCTGTTTCTTCACTCCAAATGTTGTTTGTCACAGATAGAACTTATACTGCACTGCATAAGGGGATAAGGGGCAAGGGGCGAGTGACTATTCAGTTTGGTTGCTGCTATGACTATGCAACGGTAAGTAATTCATCATCTGCTATTTTTTTGAGTCACGGGCTGAAATTGTGTGCCTGCAGTGACAAGAACATTACCACATGAATGTTTTGTGCTAACTTTTTCCGTTGTTTTAGTTTCCTTATCATCATTCTTTATGTGTATATTTTCTGGAAGAGGGGGAGGTGGGGATGGTGGTTTTGGTGATAGAAGGCTTTGGATTGGACTAATCACTAAAAAGAAGTTGAACATAGGTGATCCAATGATTGAATTCTGTTGATGGCAGGATCGAAATGGCAATCCCTCGGGTATCCTCAAAGACGATATTGTTGATCCTATACCTCAACTTCTGAAAGTGATGATCAAAAGGCTTGTTAAGTGGCATGTGATACCTCCAAACTGCATTCCCGACAGTTGTATTGTGAATATTTATGAAGAGGGAGATTGCATGCCACCTCATATTGAGAATCATGATTTTCTTCGCCCTTTTTGTACTGTTTCGTTCCTTAGTGAATTTGACGTGCTTTTTGGATCAAACTTAAAAGTCGTGGGTCCTGATGAATTTGACGGTCCAACTGCAATCTCCTTGCCAGTGGGGTAAGTGGTTATTCTGTGCTCTTTTTCTTGACCTCCCAAGAAATGAAAGCTCGTGAATTGGTCACTAATGGCATAATGTTCCTCCAGATCTGTTCTTGTCTTTAATGGAAAAGGAGCTGATGTGGCTAAACATTGTGTTCCAGCAGTTCCTACCAAAAGGTGCAAATTTGAACTCTTTATACCGCTATTTCAATCTTTTCACGTTTTAACCAACAAGCCAAAATTCTACACAGGATCTCAATTACTTTTAGGAGAATGGACGGATCCAAACGACCAGTTGGATATGTTCCTGATCCTGATTTGCAAGGTCTTCAGCCTCTATCATATGAAGTAGACAAATATAAGAAACCAAAGACAGTGAAACCAAGGCGTTCTATGAAGAAACAGGTGGTCAGACAAGAGGAGAGCGCAGGCAAAATAAGAAGATCAATAGAAAGGAGCTTAGAGCCCCGACACTCGGGCCAAACCCAACAATGGCATGCAAGTAGGCACAGGGTGAGGGTGGATTTGGAAAGGTCAGCCGACAATTCTTATACTCGAACAGTAAAATTTTAACCCGTCATCTCTTACAGTGAAGAGGTTATGGTGCAGTGTTGCATTAGTTTTAGGTTTGTGGTGTGGGTTGCATACTTTGCCACTGCATCATTTACATGTATACTCCATAGACATTTGGCATATTTTTTCATTGCATTCTTGCATATTATCACTGGCTGTGGCTTGCCAGTTTGATAAAAGAATGCGAAGCCACGGAAAAGGGTAATTGAAGCCTTTTGATTGATTCAGACCAATACATTGTATGAGTGTTCATCCTTCTCATTGATAATTTGAGTGCATTTTCAGTTTTTCACTGATAAACCCAAATTGTTGACATAAAACTACTGGAGACACAGATGGTGAATAGTGAGCAGTTTTGATATGTTTACTCTATCATGCCTAAGAAGCAGTATATGTTGCTAGAGTAAGTCTTGTGTGAGTGAGACTTTCTCACGTGAGACATGTAATATTTTTCTATAGGTTTATAAAAGTATTACTCCATATATTTTAATTAAGGGTCCGTTTGGAAAGTTGGAAAATGATTTCTGGAAAATGTTTTTTGGAGAATGAGTCATTTTTCAGAAAACATTTTCCTTTCCAGTGTTTGGTTGCATTTTGGAAAATTTGGTGTGTTTAGTTTATTTTCTGAAAAAATGAGTAGAATTGTATGTTTAAACATTCTGGCGGAAAATGACTTCCCCCAAATTTTGGCGGAAGTCATTTTCTGCCAAAATGGCTTCATTTTCCTTCGTTAACGGAAAACATTTTCTGTTGACTGGATTTTCCTGTTGCATCCAAACACTGAAAACTCGAAAAACATTTTTCAGAAGTCATTTTTCGAGTTTCCAAACGGATCCTAAAAGTATTTCACGTTTCATGGTGAGATGATTTTATATAAGACTTATTTTGGGGTTTCATTGTTAGAAAAGAAACTAGGAACAATGAATTTTGCATTCTTGCAACTTGCAAGGGGATATATATGTAGAAGGATTTCTTAACGTTCAAATGGTGTGCATAAGATCATATGCTTATATAAGAATCATAGATTTGTGAGCTTGAATTCCAACACCCATCTCTCAAATCCACCAATAATCTCCTCACGAGTGGCATAATTTAATTTTTAAATATCTATCTTCGACGCATCCGCCTCTTCCTATATTACACTATAGCTCATATAAAAAATTCATCACACCATTGTTGATAGGCAATTGCTTTTCACCAGTCTCTTTCCTATATTATATTGTTGTTTCGGATTTAATTTAGAAGAATTATACATTTGAGAGGTCGAAAGTAAGAATCATTGTGGGCTATAGCGAAATAAGAAAAAGAAAAAGAAAAAGAAAAACTATGTTAGTGTGTGTTTTGATGCAAATTCCGTGCAACCGTGTGCACCATGCAAAACGACGTCGTTTTGATTAAAAACGACGCCATTTGACTTTTTTAAAAGTATATATATTTTTTATTGTTGTTAATGGTGTTATGCTGTGTATAATTTGAACTATATATTCCGAATTAATAAATTATATATTCAGAATTAATAAATTATATATTTAGAATTAGTGAACTATATATCCACACCGATTACTGGTACTCTGTTTTGGCTTATGGCAGTTCGTTGCGTTTATGTATTCAGAATGAATGAACTATATATTCAAAATTAATGAACTATAATTCAGAATTAGTGAACTATATATTCAGAATTAATGAATTATATATCCAGAATTAAAGAACTATATATCCAGAATTAGTGAACTATATATCTACACCGGTTACTGGTACTATGTTTTGGCTTATGGCAGTTCACGAAAATGGTGGAAATTTCGTCGATTGGAGTTAAAAAAAAAAAAAAAAAAAAAACTATATATTCAGAATTATTAGTAAGCTATATATCCAGAATTAATTTTTTCAAAAAAATATATATCCAGAATTAATGAACTATATATCCAAAATTAGTAAACTATATATCTACACTGGTTACTGGTGCTATATGTATTCCAATCATATTATAACTCTGGTATTGTATTTATTCTGTTGTATTTTATTAATTCAAAATATTTAGTTCTCATCGTAATTACAACTATGACTGCAACGAACCCATCAAAATTTGCAGCACCTTCAAAGGAAATGATACTAAAAGAGTAAGAGCATCTCCAATCCATGACAATTTATATTCTACATCACGGCGCGTATTGCACTGTGCGCCCAGATAAAAAACGACGTCGTTTCAAAATTATTATTATTTTTTGAAATTTCGCTTACGCAGTGTTTGGTAGTTAATTTTCCTTAAAAAAATCTCATGTTTAAAAATGTACATAATGTTATACATGAATGTACATAATTATATATATGAATGTACATAATTGTATAACAAAATATACATATTGTTTTTTAAAAGATAATACACATAATCTAACATAATACATAATAAACACAAACTTTTAACATAATACACATCAACTCTTAACATAATACACAAAAATTTCCTGGTTCGGATGCACATAATTGTATAAAAAAATGTACATAATTGTATAAAAAATGTACATAATTTTATGAACAAATATACATAATTGTATGAACAAATATACATAATCACAGCAACTTCCTACCGCGCCTCCCAAAGCGACGTCGTTTTGGGAGGCGCGCGGCGCGCCGTGGTGTAGGGTATAACGATTGCCAACCCATCCAACTCCAAAACACTAAATTTTTTCAGCAAATATCACATCAGAAGGAATATTCTCACACCAAATTTTATTCATCGCCAACCCATTTACACCAAAACATCAAACTTTTACACTAAAATAATTTTATTTTTCCATTATTAGTTCAAATTTATTTAGTTTAATATAATTTAGTTCGAACTTAATTAGTTTAATATAAAATATAAATTGTAATGTAAATAATAATTTTTATTAACATTAATTTTTTTATAAAATTAATTATTTTAAAAATTGAATGTAATAATATTTTTAAAAGTTTAATTTATTCCACAATAATAATATAATATAAAACATCTAATACATTTAATTATCATAAATTATTAATTTTATTTTAATTAATATATATTCAATATTAGTCTTGTTTCGATCGTCTCAGTGAGATATTTAAAATGGTATAATTTATATTTAATAATACAAATTTTAAATATAAGTATTTAACAAAATAATAAAATTCTATATAAACAAATAACGGTCAAATTTGAAATTGTCGTTGATGAACCGTGATGCGCAGCACTGTTCATTAACGCCAAAACAAAAGGCGTTATGGCGTTTTACAGCTACACATTGGAGCAATATATTTTGTAGGGATGGAGATTTGGTGTTGAAATATGCCGTTTTGCAGCTCCGTTGGAGATGCTCTACAAAGCACCAACTCTATATGGTAAACAAAAGTACAAAACCAAAACAAGACTTAAATTAGGTGTAAATATTATTTCAAAATAAGAGTTTATTACACTAAGTTAGCTTTATTGGTGGGAAGAAATTAAACTATTTATTTTTGTAAAAATTAAATTGGATTATATCATCCAAAAACTTACCTAAACTAACTTTTCTGAGTCAAATGTAATATTAGTTGACACATAAATTATTTTTAAAACAATATTTAATCACCTACATCATTTCCCACATAATAATAATAATAATAATAATAATAATAATAATAATAATAATAATAATAATAATAATAATAATTAAACCTTTAGACATTGTAATTAGCATAAAAAGTTTATTTCAGCATAAAAATACTTCACAATTAATAAAAGATCTCATTCGGCAACAGTTTGCAGCGAGGCGAGATGGATTGGAGGTTTCTTGGCCAACTAAGATGGCAGGTTATGGGGTATGTTTGGAAAACTTAGCTGAAAGTTGAAAAGTAGCTAAAAAGCTATAGGCTAGAAGTTGAAAACTGAAAAGCTGTTAAGTTAGCTGATTATGCTTAAAAATGTTTGGTAAAATTAGCTTTTTGATATTTTGATAAATGTAAAAAGATTAAAAATGACATCTTCATAAAATTTAAATAATTTTAAATTTAAATAGGTTTGTTTACATATTAAAATTTAACATTTTGAAATGAAACTATTAGTATAATCATGATCTAGCATATCATAATAAAGTAGCAATATTGTTGTGAATCTCCTTCATCTCAAGAGAGGTCTCAGTTATATATATATATATATATATATATATATATATATATATATATATATATATATATATATATATATATATATATATATATATATATATATATGTATGTATGTATGTATGTATAAAATTAGGTTCTGGTGCGGTTAGGTTGCTCAGGTGCGGTTGTGCGGTTTAATCTGGACCATTCATCTCGCTTAGATCAACGTCCAGGATTACCAAAATTTAAAAAAAAAACACGGTGGCAATTTTGTAATTTTTGTATTTAGGTCAACATTAATGTGAGCGGTTCTGTGATTAATGTGCGTGAGTTTTGTATACAATATGCGTGAGTCTTGTGCATAAGGTGCGTGAGTTTGTGCTTAATGTGCGTGGGGTTGTGCTTAATGTGAGTAGTTAGTAAAACTTAAAGTGTGGACTTTTGTGTTTAAGGTGCGTGAGATTTGTTCTTAATGTGAGTGGAGTTTGTGCTTAATTTGCGTAGGATTTGTGCTTAATGTGCATGAGATTGTGCTTAATGTGTGTTGGATGAAGAAGCATGCAGCACGTCTAAATGACCAAAAGCGTCTACCAAAACTAAAAGCGTCTACCAAAAACGCGTCTTCTTGTCCAACAATGTGCGCGGATTTTGTACTTAATGTGCGTGAGTTTGTACTTAATGTGCGTGAGTTTTGTACTTAATGTGCGTGAGTTTGTGCTTAAGATCTAACACTTAAGGTGCGTGGCTTTCTTCCAAACACGCATTTTTTTTTAAATTTTCATTGATGTTTTTTTTTTTTAATTTTCATTGATTTGAGCCGTTGATTTAGATTTGATCTACGGCTCAGATCTAATCGCACAACCGCACGGGAAGCTATATCCGCACATGAACCCTTCCATATATATATATATATATATATATATATATATATATATATATATATATATATATATATATATATATATATATATATATATATATATATATATATATATATATATATATATATATATATATATATATATATATATATATATATATATATATATATATATATATATATATATGGGTGATCACATGTGGCCATGTTGTTAGGTGTGGTCATATGGTCAATTACAAACCATTAGATTAGATAGATCCAATGAATCACATTAATCAAGATTCTTACAGTATTTTCGCTCACATTCTCCTTCCAGTAT